AAAAAAAAAAAAAAAAAAAAAAAAAAAAAAAAAAAAAAAAAAAAAAGTTGAAATAAAGACACAAGAACAAAGTTATAGAGTTTTGACTTACAAAAAGAGACTTGTGTGAAAGTTTCTGAGGGATCGGTGGGAGCTTATGAGAGGAAGGGATACTCATAAATGAAAAAAATTAATCAAGAGATACGATAGAGAAAAAAGGTTGGAAATAACTGATCTAGACTTTACGTACACACGTCATTATTAAAAAAAGAATGTTTGCAGTTTTGACGTGACACGAGTGCAAATCGGCGCTAATCAAACAGCGTCAAGAGTTCCGAGAAATTGTCAGATCCGATTCTATTGGCAAGCGACATGAGCATGCCTCGAAACATAGAATCCAACGAATCGATAGGAAAATGTGTCTGCACTTTACGAATAATTGGTTGTTCGCGCGAGATGTTTACGCTTCGGAACGATTAAAATTCGAAAGATTTTTCGCCCAGTTGCGAAACTTCAACACGCCTACAACATTGATCAATCAGCTCGAGATATTCGCGAATCTTCCGAATTGTTCGATAGTCTTTACGTTTCGTGTGCGTGTGCGTGAGCGTGTAAACGCGTAAGCATGCATGTTTCCTTTCCTTTTTTCCTTCTTTCAAAGAGATACACACATATAGTAATTCAGTATCGTATCCTCTCAAGCTAGCTCGCCTGCATCGATAGATACGTCGATCTTCGATTACACAGAATTTGCGAGGACGCGAGTAAATTATTCAGGATCTTCTATTACGTATATAACTTTATATTACACACTTTGCCATACATACATTGCAACGACGTACAATGAGAATGAAAATAAAGGAAATCTTATATCCCTCCCTCGGTTGTCGGTCTCGCTCCTCTTCCGCTTTAATACATCCTCTGTCAAAGGATCGAACATCTCTCATAAATATCTTTTCGCTCAGACGGTCTAGAAAAAATATGCGGATATGTGTATTAAAAAAATACAGGCACTCGTGCAGACACACAGCCACGCACACACATTATACAACCATTAACGCAAACTGCGAACCCAGCACCGATCGATACAGAGTTGGATCCTTGCGTTCTTTCCTTTCTTTCTTTTATTTTTTTTTGTACACGTCGCTTTTCTCTCTTAGACAATTAGCACGCAATTAGAACCGATCAACGGTTTTCCTTTTCAACCAGCGTCAAAACGCTCTCTATATAACGCGTCATTTCTTTTTCTTTAAATTCGTCTCATCCTTTTGATCGCCAATGTCTTTTTTCTTTTTTTTTTTTTTTTGTTTGTAAATCTGTACACTTTTGGAAAGAAGATTCGCTCTTTTTGTCATTTAGATATACACCGTATACGTTCGTCAAGTGAAACGAATTCGAAGGTCGAGAGGTGAAAAAAAAGGGGCGGGAGGAAAGGTAATAAATAGTCGGTGACGCGTGCACGACCGTCGAATCGAGAATGTCTCGAGAAAGAAATCGCTCGGGCGCTCGTTAGCGCGCCTTACCTCCCCCTCCCGTTTACGAGTTGTGTCGTCGACGCGTGTATTAATTCGCAACAATTCGCTAGAGTTGGAGCACGGAGAGCGAGCCGTCGTCGAAAATCCGTTTCGTTTCGTTTCGTTTCGTTTCGTTCGCACACCCGACTCCTCGAACGGAAGCGTAACAACGCGTCCTCGCATTCTTCGGATCGCCGACAAATCACATTTCGCTTCAAAAAAATATCGCGATATTTACAATTACATTTTCACAGTTTTGACGATCCTGAATAGTTAACTCACGCGTTTTCTGGACTGGCGAGCGCCAGCTCGCTTAATTACAGGTTCCTTTCTTATCGTCATGGTTTCCGTTTCTTTTGCGATGCGAGGTGAATAGAAAAGAATAATAGCAACAACAGAACGAGAGAAGAGAACGCTCGTGTGTGAAAGTAAAAGCAGGTATTATATCGATAGACGGTATCTTCTCCAACGATGAGAGACGTCGTCTTTCAACGCGTCTTTCACGTGCGTTGGTCGCGAGGAAAAGTACGGCCGGCTTTTTTTTTCCCTTTTTTTTTTTTTTTTTTTTTTTTTAT